GATAGATAGATAGATAGATAGATAGATAGATAGATAGATAGATAGATAGATAGATAGATAGATAGATAGATAGATAGATAGATAGATAGATAGATAGATAGATAGATAGATAGATAGATAGATAGATAGATAGATAGATAGATAGATAGTGATGCCAGCCATTCATGAAAATATTTCAATAAAAACATTCAACAGAATCATTGACATTCGTTAAAACAAATTTCACCAGCACAACATCAACGACGGCGTTCCTCAGAGCTCCATCATGAGACCCCAAATTCTCACTGAAATGTCTCAAGCCGTTTTTATTGTTTACATTGATAATGTTACTAAATATTGCTGTGGACCCACACCTAGCAGGATCTCCATCCATCCATCCATTATCTTTTACCCGCTTCTTCCTTTTTGGGTCACGGGGGTCGCCGGTGCCCACATGGTATTTTCTTTACAATCAAGTAATTGTATTCCTAAAATAAATTTTTGTGTTTCTGACATATTTTATGTATGTATATTTGTTGTGTTTATATGTATTAAATCAGGGGTGTCAAACTCAGGGAACCAAAATTAAAAACTTGGTCCCAGACACGAGTCAGTTTAAGTCATTTGACATTTTACATTTAGAACATCATCTTCAGGGGCAAGATAAGATGTTTGCCAGGGCCAGATTTGGCCTGCAGGCCTTGACTTTGACACATGTGCATTAGATAGTCTAACACAGAGCACTGAAGTCCACCCCCCCCCCCCCCCCCCCCCCATAGAAACAGAAGAAATTATTAGTGACAGCGGTAAGGGTGCTCCAGGAAAAATAGATATTTTAAAGGGAAAGGACGTGCATCTTGTAAAACAACAACAGCTTTCAAATAAAACAGAAAAAGTGGTTTCTCTTATCTGTCTTCTTTCCTGATTCCCCCCCCCCCTCCCCTCAGCCTCCCTCCATCCCTCCTCCGCTCTCACAGCTCGTGCATCCTCCTAATTTTCTGCTCACTCTCTTGCTTAGCTCGCTCCGGAGCCCACATCTTGCCTCGCACTTTGCCTTTGGACACAGTATTGGATTTTGCCTGCAAGCTCCCTCTCCGTGCGCTCCTCAGAGACCAACTAAAGGATGGTCGGTCAGCAGAAGTGCTGGGAAGTCGCTCTTTTCACCCTGCCATCATTTTAATCGCTCTGGGGGTAGATCCGGACCCCGCTGACATTGAAATGAGCCCCGTTTCTTTTGTAAAGAGCTGGTGAGAGGAGCTCGATCTGCGTGCGAGAGACCCTTTGAAGAAGTTTCACTGGTGCATCGTCTTGGGTGGTAAGACTGTGGCTGTGCAGCAGAGCAGTGCTTTTACAGGCCACATAGAATGAGATGTAGTGGGCAGCAGAGGAGAAACACGCTTTGGGAGAGAGGCTGCTGCAGCTAGAAAGAAGCTGCATCGGTTTTTCTGGTGAGAGGGAGAGGATGTTTGTTGCTCTGTGTGTGTGTTTCAGTCACTTCTGTGTGGATAAGTGTAGTCGTGAATGACGAGGAAGCTGAAGCGGGTGCACACACACTCCGAGGATGCAGATTGTGCTCGTGCTCGTTGAGAACTCTGGGTTTTGGCTTGTTGATGCAGCAGTGTAGAAGTATTTCACACGCTCAGCTTCAGCAGAAAGAGAGTGGGTGGATGGACTGCAGGGAAGGGACTCAACATCCACTGATGCCTTTATTCCAGCTAACTTGTGCAGGTCTCACACATGCTGTCTGGAAGGAAGAATGCAAATGTGGGTTTTTACTCCTCATAGAAAGCTGGAAAAATATATAAATAGAAAGCTGCAAACGCTGCGAGAGGTGTTTTTACAGATTTTTTAAATTTTGTTAATCGGTTAATGAAGCAGCTGCTTAGTGCATGGCTGTGCTATCCTTGTCCTCGAGGGCCACCACCCTGCGTGTTTTAGATATTTCTCTGCTCCTGATTTGAATCGATGATTAACAAACTTCTGCAGAACATGAAGCGTCATTAAACCACTGGACGAGATGTGTTTGAGCAGGAACACATGTGAAAATGCAGGATGGTGGCCCTTGAGGGCTAGGATTGAACACCCCTGAGAGTTTTAGCTAAGTGTGTGTGTGTTTTCAGGAATGGGAGATGGAAAGTGCTACAGCTTTGCCATGAGTCGTCTGTGGTTCTGTGTTTTGCTTGTGAGCATCGCCTGTCGTCTGAGGTAAGAAACTGATTCCTGCTCCTGCCACATCAGCTTAACAAGAGTTGATTCACTCTGGGATATTTCCTCGAACAATCTGTTTTGTTTTCATTGCACGTTAGGTTTGCGTTGCCAGCGAAGCTGCACTGAACGTATTTGTAACTTGAAATTGCTTTCATGCAGCTTTTCTCAGGATGTTGCTGGAACTCCCACAGAAGCAGAGTTAAACGACAACATCACCATCTTCACTCGCATCCTGGACGGGCTGCTGGATGGATATGACAACAGACTCCGTCCCGGGCTGGGAGGTCGGTCCAAAGGAAAAAGAAATGCAATTTTAATCGCAACTAGTATAAAAGAGCTGTTGAAGTTCACGTAGGGCAACTGTCCCTCTGTTCAGAAACATATTTACATTATGGGACGATGACATCAGTTCAGCTGATTAAACCTCTTTCTGTGTGTGTATGAACACAGAAACACACACAGAGTTGCTGTGAACTGATTAAAACTGTAAAATTATTAACTAGTCAAGACTATGTAAAAGCTGTCTTTTCTTCACAAATCTTGTTTATAAAATAAATTTCAGACACTACACTGAGCTGTACTCTCAGTCATAAATGACTCCTTTTCAGCAACATTAAATAAAACATGTTATTTTTAATATGACCACTAGAGGGGACCAAAGTAAGTAAAAATATTTTCTTTGGATTTTATCAAATTTTAATGTAAAATTGCATCAATAGTCTTTTGGCTTGAACTTCTATTTTTTTTTAACAAACACTTTATCAAAAGACTTTCATTCTGCCTTTTTTAAAATCATATTTCACTATGGGATTTGGCAGTCCATGTATGCCACATATATACAGTTTAACTTGAGAATTTTAGTAACTGTTCAATATAAAAGCTGGTATTATTTTGTTAAAGAATGCAAAATGCCATGTTTTCTGTGAAACTCTAACTTGTAAGATAACAGCCATGTCCAGTTTTCATATTCAAGTGTTTAAAGTATCATGTTGTAATATTTAATCATCTTCCCTCACAGAGAAGGTGACAGAAATCAAAACCAATATCTTTGTCACAAGCTTTGGCCCAGTCTCTGACACAGAAATGGTAAGAAACACTTTTACTTTGCTTATATTAGGTATTGTTTACATGTTTTACACTATTAACGTTACTCGCCATCACTGTTGTCCATTTTTAATAATTTTTAAGTTTTTGCCCAAATCAACTCTGATGGTCACTCTTCAGACAAACATCTGTTTGTGTTTTTCTATCAATCCATTGAAGAGTATTAAACAGAGCTTGTGACCACGTGGAGTTTTATTTAAAAGTGAGACTTAAAACAATTCTTGGAGAAAAAAGGATTTCTGGAAATACAATATTCCTGCAAGACAACAGAAATTTAAACACAACATAAATGACATATTTTTTTATCATCCAGCTTTTTAGCTTTAAAACATGAATTGTTTTATTCCCCTTTGTGTGCAAAGAAAGAGTTGAACACTTCTAGTGTTTATACAAGGCTCAGGGAAGTAGAAGTACAGAGACTATACTGTTATTCTTCTTCTTTCAGCTTTTCCCTCTTCAGGGTCGCCACAGCGAGTCATCCTCCTCCATCTCTGTCCTCACTCCAACTACCTTCTTGTCCTCTCTAACTGCACCCATATATCTCATCTTTGTCTTTTTCCTGGCAGCTGCATTTCTAACATCCTTCTACCAGTATACCCACTGTCCCTCCTCTGGACATGTCCAAACCACTGTCCCTCCTCTGGACATGTCCAAACCATCTCAGTCTGGCCTCTCTAACTTTATCTCCCAGTTGTTCAACCTGTGCTATACCTCTGATGATCTCATTCTTATCCATCCTTGTCACTCCTAAGAAGAACCTCAACATATTAATTTCTGCCACTTCCAGTTCTGTCTCCTGTCTTTTTGTCCATGTCTCTGTCTCCAGACCATACAACATAGCTGGTCTCATCACTGTCTTGTAAACTTTTCTTTAAACCTTTGCTGACACAATTTTGTCACAAATCATTCCTGAAGCTTTTCTCCATGCACTCCATCTTGCCTGTCTCTCTTCTTCACCTCTTTACCACACTTCCATTTTCCTGGACAGTGGACCCCAAGTACTTGAAGTCTTGCACCTTTGTGACCTCTGCTCCTTGTAGCCTCACTGTTCCACCTCCTCCCTCTCATTCACACACGTACTCTGTCTTACTACGACTGACTTTCATTCCTCTTCTTTCAAGTGCATACCTCCACCTCTCCAAGTTCTCTTCCACCTGTTCCCTGTTCTCACCACAGATCACGACATCTGCAAACATCATCATCCATGGGGATTCCTGTCTGACCTCATCTGTTAGTTGGTCCATCACCAGAGCAAACAAGAAGGGGCTCAGAGCCGATCCTTGATGCACTCCCACCTCCACCTTCTATCACTCCTAAAGCACATCTCACCACCTGCTGTCCTCATACATGTCCTGTACCAGTCTAACATACTTCTCTGCTGTAATGAGAGAGCTTCGAGATGGATTTAGCTCAGGGGTGCTCTCTTACATTTTATAATATCTGGACTAGTTCAAGTACATGATATTATACTTAATTTAAACGGATTCTTTCATTTTTCTGGACTAAGTGATATTGTGCTTAGAAGTACTGTGTCGGAGATGGTCTAATCAGTGACGTGAGACGTTAATTTTCTTTGACCCATCAAAATGAATGTGGTCATTTATTAACAGAATCAAAATTTAACATCAAAACATTGTACACTTGATTATTCTGATTAAATGCAATAACACAGCTTAATTAATGAGCTTTACAATGAGAAATCATACGGCCATGATTTCTCACTTGCAACAAAAAACAACAGACATATCTGAAGATATCTGGATTAATTACTGCAGGCTTAGCTTATCTTTTTACTGGCGAGATAGAAGAGTTTGAAAGATGGAGTAAAGTTTAAGGAGGGAAAGTGGATACTTAGGTTTAACTAAGATAATAAAGAAAAGATGGGGAGTTATCTTGTTTGAAACCAGATAGCACGTTTCCCAGTGATTTCGGCTAGATGTACCCGAGCGTCGACTCTTTACCTTGGTGGGGTTTCAGAGAGGTCTTCTCCTGGCGTCCAACAAGGCTGAGTCTTTTTACCTCCAGGGATTTATCCGCGTCTCATCAACTTGGGATGACGAGGCTGACTGGCCCAGCTTCCAAAATAAACTTCCCCGAAATATAGGATTAAGTTAAGTGGAATTTCAGCAAACGTGCTGAACTCCTGAGATGTTGAATAGGTCTTTGGCGTAATGACCGGAATCAACACTCCAGACAGGTGTCATCTTTAGAAAATGACCACCGTGGACTTCACCCTTGTAAAGTCGCACTGTCTTCCTTCTCAGCAGAACTCTCTGTTCTCCATGGAACTTCGGTTCATGTCTCCCAGAACTTCGGTTCATCCTCCAGAACTTCTGGAACTAGGAAGTGTCGACTTTTTAAAGAGTTCTGTTTCCGGTCCCTTTTGGGAAGTCCTGATTGGTTGAAAGAACCAACAGGGGTGTGGTTTTAGTGACGTAAGAAGTTACTACAAGTCAGAAAATCAGTGAGATGTTTGGGAACAGACAGAGAAATGTTTAGGGACAGACAGAGAAATGTTTTGGAGAAATGACAGACTACAGGTGCCAGTAGCTTCTTATTTCTGTCTGCTAGGTTTAAAAACATGACAGTTCGTTCCAATAACTTCTTTCTGACTTTCGACCGACATCACTACTTCTCATTTCAGACAGAAGATCAAAAAATGCATAATTACTTGGTAACAGACATTAACTTGATTTCTACTTTGAATGAGGATTAAAAAATCATTAATACTGTTTCACAGTTGATTTAAAATGAGTAGTTCACTTCAACATTTAAAAATGATTTGAACTAAACACACTTTGATTATCAAGATATTGTAAAATAGTAATGATAATATAAAAAGAGAGTGTTCTTTCAATTGATTAGTTCAGAATACAATGAGAAAGTCTCTGGATGAGCCAATTTGTATTTCTGGATTCAAATCAATGAAATAACAGTTTCTGTCCCATGAAGGTCTTCAGGGTCAGGTTTTGGCCTGAGGCTTAGTTCACTACACTGCCACTCCAGATTTCCTCATGCAATACCACATGTCCTCTCTCGGCACTCTGTCATATGTTTTTCTAAATCTGCAAAGACACAATGTAGTTCTTTCTGACCCTCTATGTACTTCTCCATCAGCATTCTCAAAGCAAAGATGGCATCTGTGGTGCTCTTTCTTGACATGAAACCATACTGCTGCTCACAGATAGTCACCACTAGTCTAAGTCTAACTTCCATAACTCTCTCCCTGATCTTCATCGTGTGGCTCATCAACTTAATTCCCCTGTAGTTACTACAACTCTGTACATCAACCTTGTTCTTAAAAATGGACACCAGCACACTTCTTCGCTATTCTTCATTCAAATATTCTTTTTTTTTTTTTAGTTTTGGGAATCGGGAATATAAATCAATGCAGGAATTGTATATCCGGCAGCAAAACTTTAAAATCTTTTGGAACGCACAAAAAGTTGGACAGATCAGTAATTGTTCCTGTGCATATTTTGTTATTATATTATTCTTCAAACAAGCGTTTAGGACAAATTCACACATGCTCACAGCACCACCACCACCACCCCATGTGAAACCCATCCCACTGCTTTGTATATGTCCTTTATCTCCTTCATCTTTGCCTGACTGAGAAGCTCCGTGTTTTTCTGCAGGAATACACCATTGATGTCTTTTTCCGTCAAAGCTGGAAGGACGAGAGGCTTTGCTTCAAAGGCCCAATGCAGATGCTGGCTCTGAATAACCTGCTGGCCAGCAACATCTGGACCCCAGACACCTTCTTCCTGAATGGGAAAAAGTCCATTGCACACAACATGACCACACCGAACAAGCTGCTGAGGCTGAAGGATGATGGGACGCTCCTGTACACCATGAGGTGAGCTCTCTGTGTCTCTGCAGTTGGATAAAACGTTTTTATCCCAGTCTTGGATTTCAAACAGTGTCAGGAGAGCTGCACGTTGTGTAATCCAGTTAGCCATAAAAGGATGACTAAAGCCTCCACCTGCCTCTTCTTTGAGGTTTAATGGTTTTTGAGACCCCTGCTGCAAAGCCACAGCCCACACACTCGTTCTGTGTGTGTCAGCACCGTCTTGTTTGTCCTCATGGAGACAACTGGAGGTCAGGGGACTTTGAAAGATTTACCTGAGTCCCGTGTCCTCTTCACACTCTGTCTTTAACTCCAGCTGTGGCTACAACACGCTCCCCGGTCCTCTCAATCCTGCAGCCAACATTCAGTCCCAGCTTGATTTCATGTGCTGTCAACTTTTGCAGTTAGTTTTTATCCAGTTATTGGAAATATAAAGATTTACTCTGATACATGTATATCATTAGATACATTGTTCTTGAGACCCTCTACAATTCTAGTAATAATGATTTTTTAATAATAAAAAAAAAAAAAAAATCAGATACACCCACCATAAAATGCAAGACTTTGAGTTATCATAATTTGATTAAAATAATTCCCCATTGAGCCACTTTTTCTCTCTTATTTGTGGTCGGGTCGTGGGGGCAACAGATTGATGGTGGAAACCGAGACATCCCTCTTCCCAGTAATACTTCCCAGCTGCTTCTGGGGGTCCCAAGGTGTTCTCAGGTGTGAGAGAACATAAGACCCTTCTTCTGGGTCTGTCTGGGGGTTTCTTGACAGTGGAAGGTGCCAAGGAGGCATCCTGGTCAGATGCTAGAACCACTTCAGCTGTCTCCTTTCCAATAAGAGGAGCGGCGGCTCTCCTCTGAGCTCCTCCTGCATGTTGGAGCTTATTTTATTTTATCTTTTTGCCGCTTGCTTCCAGGATCGCATTCTTTCAGTCATGGTCAACACCTAATGACCATAGGAGCGAGTTGAAACATAAATGGGTCAGTAAATCAAAACCCTTTTGACTCAGCTCTTTCTTCACCATAACAGACCAGAGCAACATCGTCATTACTGTAGCCCCAACTGATCAATCCATTCAAAATTAATCCAAATTGATAGTTTTATTTGTTTCTCTTGCTATTTTAGGCAGGCAGGAGACCATTATAAGACCTAAGTGGATGTTACCGTGCATGTTGCTACTTCACTGAGCTGCAACTGACTGGAGGCACAAAATTCAGACAAAATACTCAATTTTTACTGAGAGCCTCTTTGATTTAGGACATGTCTGGTTAACTGGAAACAAACTGGGGCATTCATGCAACATTTTACAACCAAATATATTTGCCTCAGTTTTGTCACAAATCTCTTCAGCATAGCATGTTTCAATCTGATGCCAATTTATTTACTGATTGATTGATTTTGCCTTTAATCAGTCACAATTTGATTTTATAGGTCAGCAAATCTTTACAAAGTTGTAGTTTTCACTCCTGACTGAACTGAGATGGATTCCAGAGGCTCGTAAAGTCTCTGTGACTATTTTTGACTCATTTATTTTGCAAATTATTTGAACATGAGATAAAGACAAACACTTGACAGAGTTGTTTGGTAAAAGAAGAATAACTATGAAGTGAATGATGGAGAGTAATTAAACTTTATAGGCTGGTAACTGAGTCCTTAAAATGAACAATAATTTGATATACTTCTTAATAGTATTTTAGATATCCTGTTTATAAAAGCCCATCTAGGGACAAGTGCTGCAAATTAGCTCACGCTGCATGATGCAGGCATGGGACTGCTGCTTTATTCAGTTTATCAATGTTATTGTGTGCCAGTCCCTATCAAATAAACTTAAACAAAATATAATTTAGGTTGGTGTGTTTAGATACAACAGACCACCTGGCTGTTCTCTGTTTGGGACCATTAAAGCCCATGTATCTAGCATTTCAACTCATTATCAATACCCCCAAAATTTTACAACTGTTATATTTGGTTATTATGAGCTAAAAACAAGTAGTATGCAGTTGCATTAATGCTGAACCTGACACGCCCTTTAGTTCATTTAGCAGATGGATTTATGAAGCTATTTTAAGTCAGAGTCAGAGATTCTTTATTGGCATTCGCACCTCATGTGGTACATGTGGTGGAGCGAAATTATGTACACAGGGTCCCAGTTACATCCAACAATAAAATGTATAAGAAAAACAGTAACATCTAAGATATGAACTAAGAAAAACATCAAGTAAATATACACTAAGCACTCATAACATAAAACATTGAACATCAGCACAAACATGAACATGAGTCTGTGAGCAGATGTGCACGCATGAACACATCAACATTGAAACAGATCAGCAGCAACATGAAACAAATCAGCAGCAACATGAAACAGATCAGCAGCAACATGATATGGTTTTTCACAGTGATTATTCTGGTTAGAGATTCATGAGTCTAACAGCCTCAGGGTAGAAGCTGTTCCTCAGTCTAGTGGTTCTACACTTAATGCTCCTTAATCTCCTTCCTGAGGGGAGTGGGGCAAAATGTGTGTGTGCTGGGTGAGTGGGGTCCTTCATGATGCAGGTGGCCCTCTTCCTGCATCTGGAGGTGTAGATGTCTGTGTTGGTGGGGAGACTGATTCCGACAGACTTCTGTGCAGCCTTCACCACTCTCTGCAAAGCTTTTCTTTATGCAGCTGTGCAGCCTCCATGCCACACGTTGATGCTGGAGCACAGGATGCTCTCCACTGCACACCTGTAGAAGGAGGTGCAGACTGAGCTTCCCAGACCAGCTCGCCTTAGCCGTCTGAGGAAGTAGAGTCTCTGATGAGCTTTCTTGATCAGGCTGGTGGTGTTGTTGCTCCAGCTGAGGTTGTCATTCATGTGTACACCCAAGTATTTGTAGCTGGAGACCACTTCCACCGCAGATCCTCTTATGTTCAGGGGGGTGTAGATGTTTTTGTTCCTTCTGAAGTCCACAATCATCTCCTTTGTCTTCTTCACATTGTTGTGAAGGTTATTCTCTTTGCACCAGCTCTCCAGGTGTTCCACCTCTTCCCTGTAGCTGGACTCATCTTGTTTGTGATGCATCCCACCACCGCTGTATCATCTGCAAACTTTACAATGTGACAGCCTGGATGGGTAGCTGCACAATCATATGTGAGCAGAGTAAACAGGAGGGGGCTCAACACACATCCCTAAGGAGAGCCAGTGCTGAGGGTTATGGTGGAGGAGGAGAGGTTGTGGATCCTCACTAACTGTGGTCTGTTTGTTAAAAAGTCTAGTACCCAGTAGCAAATGGAGGGGCTTAGTCCTAGTGTGGATAGTTTGTCCATCAGGGTTTGGGGGATCATGGTGTTGAAGGTGGATGTGAAGTCCACAAAGAGCATACGGACGTAAGAGTTTTTCTGCTCCAAGTGGTTGAGCGCACTGTGGACCACAGAGGAGATGGCACCCTCTGTTGATCGGTTAATAGAGTGAGATGAGAAGCAAGACAGTTACATGGCAGAAGATGCTGAGGGAGCCAGCATGGATGAGGTCAGTAAAGGTCAGTAAAGGTCAGCAGGTCGACAAGTTGTTTTATTTATTTTTTTGTCCTCCATTGTGGAGTAAAGACGGGGAATTGGAAATATCCTCCTTCTGTCTATCTGCAAATGTTGTGAGCATACTTGTTGGATAAATTAATTATCCTATCATCAACTCTTTAATCCAACAAGCCACACAGAAGGGGCCAAGAAGATTTATTCAACCCAGTTTACTCCTTGCAAGGGGAAGGGGGGCAGAGTTAACACACAGACATATTACATGACGCTCTGGTCCAAGGTCTGCCCGCGGACAAAGAGTTATCAGACCAGGCGAGGTCAAGACAACCTCTGCTTCACAGCTCACAGTTGTTGAAGGCGTCAGAAGTTATCTGTTATCAGACTCCTCTCTGAGTAGACAGAAAGACTCTCTTGACTTCACACACATTCACACATATTATTTAAATTAGTAAGTGATAACATCCATGACCTTTACATAACTTCCCCCATCAATACTTTGAATAAAAACTGAGGTAACAACTTCCCTTTCTGTGTGTGGCTGCATCTAGTTGAAAGAAAGCTTCTTTTTTTTTAGAGATCCTTCCTGTCTACAGCCATCAGTATCTATAACATCTCTTAATGTAATGAGGATAATGAGTTACAACAACAAATAATTTCCCTTTGGGATTAAGAAAGTATTTTTGAATTTGAATTTTAAATACTGGGTTGGGCAGCACGATGGCGCAACTGGTAGAGCTGCTGCCTCTCAGCGAGCAGGTCCTTGGTTCAAACCCCGGTCCAGGGGCCTTTCTGGGTGGAGTTTGCATGTTCTCTCTGTGCATGAGTGGGTTTTCTCCGGGTACTCCGGTTTCCTCCCACAGTCCAAAAACATGCATGTTAGGCTAATTGGTAACTCTAAATTGTCCCTAGGTGTGAGTGAGAGAGTGAATGGTTGTTTGTCTCGTTTGTCTCTATGTGGCCCTGTGATGGACTTGCGACCTGTCCAGGGTGTACCCCGCCCCTCGCACAGTGATTGCTGGACATGGGCACCAGCGACCCCCGTGACCCAAAATGGAACAAACGGGTAAAGATAATGGATGGATGGATGAATACTGGGTTGCCATGTCCAAATCCAAGACGGCTGCCGTCACATGTTAACCTTGTGAGCTGGATAACTTCAAAAATAAGCAATGTGCCCACTTCAAATTTGGTGTGACTTCAGTTAGATGTAAATAAGGTCACTATCAAAAATTGTATTGCCATGTCGAAATCCAAGATGGCCGTCACCATATATATATTTAAACCTGCCACCTCAGTCATTTGAGGGAACTATGCTTTCTAGTTTTTATAATGCTTAAAAATATAGTTCCCTCAAATGATCGGGGTGGCTTTTGGGGTTGCTAATCTATTAGGGCCAAGGCCACCATCGGCCACCCCCTGGCCCTGCCATTTAATCTGGCTGTGTATAAAATTCCTCTCTCCAACATTTAGGCAACAGATATGTAATTAGGCCTCTCTAGTTTATCAGACTGCATGCAGTGAATGCAGAAAGTTAAGTTGGCTGCAATTAAATTAGAACAAATAAACTTTAAACTGTACTTTGGTGCCTATAGACCCAACAACAGAACTACTTGGTGGTAAAAATAACAATAAACAAAAAGTACGCTGATGTCCCCCATCACAGAAGGACTGGAATACTGAACGTTTGTAGTTTTTTTATACAAGTGTTTTTGTGGACTGGAATTGAACAGAATGCTACTAAACCTTAATGTTTTTGGTGCAAGATTTTCAAGTGGGTAGGACTCAGCCTGCATATAAGAACAGAGGTAGGTTTTTATTTATTCTTGCTGCAGGTGGTGCAGAGCGACAAACCCTGGCAAATGGTCAGGCTACAATTATACACACAAATAAAATCCATGCATATCAGTCATACTGTGTACACTTTAACCCATGAGCTCATTTAGATTATTTTAAAAAGATGAGGAAAGCATCCTAAAGACTTGAGAGAGGAAACGCAGGGCTCATCTAAAGAACGTAAGGTAAAAAACATTGAATCAGCCTGTTCCAATAAATGCTTGATAACATATAAAATAATTAGGTAAGCCTACTTTGGTTTCCTTCCCTGCTCCAATGTTGAGTCTGAATAACATTTACATCCACTTTCACTTCTGTGCAGTGTCCTTATCTCAGGACAATAAATTGCTCAAATCAAATATTCACTGGGGTGTTCTGAGGAGATGGAACCGGCTGCAACTGAAAAATGACTATCGATCGGCCTCTGAAGCTGCCACACGTCTTCAGTGCACTTGTCAAAGCTCCAGACGAGAAGAAACGACTCCACAATGGCCCTTTAATGCGTTTGTGTTCTGGGAACGAGGTTATTAGAGAAACATTTTGTGCTTGAATTACTCTCGTCTCTGCCACTGGTTTGAGGCACAACCCACTGTACCACTGTACCATTAAAACGTCCCAGCGAAAACTCATTTGTGCAATCCACTGAACTCAACACTATTCCATTCATTCTAAAGCACACTGTGTTGATCCTGACTATATAAACATAAATAACAGTGATTGTCTTTTTTCTGTATCGACTGATACATTTCCTGCTCATCGGACCTTTTCTGACTGATTCAGAACCAGCAGTGAACATGTCTGTCTAATGAAAACCAGTCAGAGCTGCAGGTTTCTTTCAACGGTCCGACGTGGTTCTAAGATAAACCTTGGAAAAAAGTTAACTATAGATTCAACAATAAAAATCTGAAGAAGTGTTATCTCGCAGAAATGTGCACATGTGTGCATGTTGGTGTACAGGCATATTTTTGGTCAAATAGCAAATATAAGCTGTATTGTGAATTTTTATTTTATTTGTGCTGTTTGTTACTTTATTTAAAAAATGATTTAAAAAAAATGTTTCCCAGCCATTTCAGGCTGTTAATGCTGTTCCATAATCAGCAAGGTTATTGTTGCTTAGCATTCTCTGGCCTGTATTGAAGCAGTGTGATTTGTATGTTTCAATTTTAAAATAAATTTCCAAGTCAGCCCTGAATCCTGAAGTTGGTTCAGCAGGTGTGGTTATTTCCTGTGTGTCCAGCAGAGGGCAGCATTACACAAAACTGTGCTCCTCTAACCTTCAAGAGTCTGTAAATGTGAAGATCATGAATCCATTTGGTTCTTATTTAGTTTCTACTAAAGCCGAATTTGTAATTTATAGTAATTCTACACATATGTAGCTTAGATTAAGGCTCGTTTCTACTCTCGCACGCCCATCAGTCTTTATCTCAGTCCCTCTGGTGGTTTAGCTGTTTACTGGGCTGGAATATTATTTTTTACTCTGCTGATCATCTGAGATGACAGACTATGATTGCTGCATCCTAACTGCTGTTTACGTGATTTAATGAGACACTGAGATAAAGCAGCACGGACGATGTATTTACTTGAAGTCATCGTATTGAAGACTCATTTTCTGAATATTGATCCTCAGCTTCCTCTTTCAGACTCACTATCTCAGCAGAATGCCCCATGCAGCTGGAGGATTTCCCCATGGATGCCCACGCGTGCCCCCTTAAATTTGGAAGCTGTAAGTAAATACACCTCTCAGCAAATACGAGCGACTTCGTAACACGATGCAGGGACAAACAGCTGAGACTTGAGCAGCAACACAAGGTTACGAGCAAGAAGAACAGTTCATAGATATTTGGAGAGAGAAAAGAAATGCAATCTACCAAAGAAGTGATAAATGCTTGGGCAGTTCTGTATCATTTTGGGACAGATTGTTTCTAATTTTAACAATATTGTACAGGCGGATAGATGTAGTTCTTGTGACGTGTTATTTGGGCTTGTCCTTAAAAACAATATTACCAAGGTTCCTCAGAACATTGGCTCTGGATAACCAAATATTGTCATTGTCGGAATTTAAAAACATAAAATTAAGTGACATCCAATATTTGATATATCCAAGCAGGTGCAGCCAAATGATAAAGGGAAAAAAGTACACATTATTTCCCCCACAAAGTAGTTTCTCTTAATAAATAAAGTAGCTTTCTTAATGACATACAGTAGCTTGCTGTGTATGTGTTGTTCTGTGTGTGTTGTGGTGGTTCATTTTTTATTGTTTATTTTGTTTTTACTTAATTGCAGTTATGGGACGGGACAGTTTTTCATTTGCCAGTAAATGTATCATTGTGCTTGTCTGCTGTGATCGTTGCTGAAGGCAGCTGTAATAGTCTCTTTGAAGCAGAAATAATTCTGCCCCATAGACTCGTTCTGTGTCAGCTCGTAGATACGTCCACTACTGCAGTATGTTCACTAACACAAGCCCACACATGAGCTTATTCACTGCAGAATGCAGTAAAGGCTGCTGTTCAACAGTGGAAATTTTTCTGGTAAAAAAAAAAATGTATTTGTGAGAATAAATTTAGAATATACTGTACTATTAAGACTCTGAGTCTCGGTACAATACCATTGTTGTACTTTCAGTTTCACAAATTAAGTAACCCATTTCTGTGTCAAGACTACCAAGAAGGACGTGCAGCTCACAGTCTTCTACAAGCAAGTGCAACATGTGATTTCAATGTTTCACACTGAAATGTAACAGTAGGTGGCACGGTGGTGCAGTTGGTAGAGCTTCCGCCTTTCAGCAAGAAGGTCCCTGGAATGAACCCAGGCTGGAGGCTTTCTGGGTGGAGTTTGCATGTTCTCTCCGTGCATGCGTGGGTTTTCTCCGGGTGCTGACTATAAATCATCTCTAGGTGTGAGAGGGTTAATGGTCGTTTGTCTCTGTGTCCCTGTGATGGACTGGAGACCTGTACGGGGTGTCCACTGGGTCTTGCACAGTGATAGCTTGATATGGGCACCAGTGATCCCCGTGACTTTAAAATGAAGAAACGAGTAAAGATGATGGATGGATGGATGGATGGATGGATGGATGGATGGATGGATGGATGGATGGATGGAGTGTAACAGTAACCCACAGAACTTACTGTGTGTGTGTGAAATGTAATCATGCAATGTAACAAAAACACAACTGTAATAATGAAATTATCAACGTAAACCTAAATTTGATATTTAACGTCCAACTTTATGAGCAACTACAATTTCAGCGTGGTTTTTAATTTATTTACAGGTTGCAGTTAAATGCATCACAAAACTTTTATGTAGTAAAAACAAAAATCTTTTGGCAAGATCTTCCTGAAGCCCTGAGTTCTGTGTCTTGGTCCCACCTGCTTTTTATCAGCAATCATATCAGTTTTTAAACAAACTCCTCCTGGAGAGAGACTCTGACTGAGTTCAGCCTTCGCTCCTGACAGTGAAGTCCTAACCAATCAGAGCTCCTTCTACTTCTGCCCGGAGACAAGAATTTAAAATTATCTCATTTGATAACTTTATTTTAGTGCAGAAAAAAAAAATAATAATTTGCTCAATTGCAACAGAAAATAAGAGAAATTAGCAACAAACAAAAAAAATGGAGGCGGAACTACATAGAAACTATTTTTATTTACCTAAAATAAATGCAAAATTAAAATTTTACATGTCACATTTCACATGTGCTGAATTCTTAGGCCTACTCTGAAGGTGTTGAAAGACATGAGGTTTTCCCACTGGTGTCTATCAACAATAAGTTAAATTTTCACATAACTGATTTGTAAATATTGTTTAGGAATGTTTAACAGAAAGCGGAGATCGACTCTACTGTGGGTCAACAACGGAGTCAGGCTCTTGGATTAAGATCAGGTTTCTTAAGGTTTAAATCCAGCAACTTTCAATTTCACTTTCCAATAATCAGCTCAAAAATAAGAGGTGCTAAAAGCAGCCTGTAGTTTTGACTCAGCTTCAGTTTTACAATCTCCTCCAGTTCAGGAGAAAAGAGGTGGAGGTATCACAGTGTCCCTCAGGTGGAGCAGGTGATAACCATCACTGCTCATGATTAAATCATTAATCCGTGTCGGGGCAGCTCCTCCGTTCACCTCAGCTGTGTTTAGTGTTGGGAACAGCTTAGGACACACCTCATCAAGGTAACCTTTAAAAGAATCACCATGTTGTTACATGAACAGTTAAAGCACTCCTCCTCCTGACTCCTGAACTGGCCCGTTTGATTTACACAGCTCCCTCCGCTGGTGCAGAAATATCCGGGAAGCCTCGGAGGCTTAAGATGAACATCTAAGGTGTTTCCTGCCACTGACATATAGAGGGTGATCCTGGGACCTGGACACGCTGCTGAACTCATGAGCAGAGCTGACATTTATCCTCTCCCACGCCTACTTTAGTCGCCTCCACCTCCAGCTGACACCTGGGACAGGGATAATCAGAGCTGCTAAATAAAACTCCTTTTACACAGAGACGGCTGCATACCACTGCTGAGAAAACCCCTCATCACGCTGTCGTTGCTCTTTAAGAGGTCTTTGTCTGGCGGCTCACTATAATTACATACAACTTCAGTTCAGGTCTACTGTACTTCATTAATCTTTGCAAGGCTAATAGGATTTGTTTGCATAGCATATATCTTAGTGTATATCTTAGATCCTTGTATACCGTTTCTTTTTATACTCTATATTTTTGCTATTTTGGGGTATAACTGGGACCCCTGAGTACAGTTTCTTTCCACCTCGTGTACCGCATGTGATGCGAATGACAATAAAGAAACTTGAACTTGAACTTGAAGGATGCAGATCATTCCCAGTCCTCCTAAAATGTGTGTGTGGGGTTCATATGAGGAGACAGAACAAATGTGAAAATAGAGCGTGCTCCTTTGCAGTCTTCTAGTGCATTGTGCATGCTCAAGAAGTAGAAACGTTCACATAAAACAAAGAAGTTCCCTAACCAGATATTGTCTAAAGTTAGTTTTTGAATCAAACTGGACAGTTTGTAATTGGACTTGAAGTAGATCTGTTTTTGTTTCCTGTATGTCTCCTGTAGTGACATTTGGTGCTAATTGAACTAAAATCTGATTGAGCTAATGATACTTTATTCCTTGTGTTTTTATACATATTTTCAGAAAATGTTTCCCACAATTCCTGTAGATAACAAAAAAGTTAAATCATGTCATCTGGACAGATTCTTTTAAAAATATGTTTCGTCTTTCCTGATCAACAGGACCTGTCGTCTTAAAAAGCTCCCTATTGACGTTTCAAACCAGCCTGCCGTGGACTTCAAAAGATATCTGAATAGTTGAATAACTGTATTTTACAGTAGTAATATTTTTAGTCAAATACATAGAAATTGGCTTAATAAATAATATATAAAAATAATGTATTACCTTATGGTAATTTTATGTAAAACTTTCTTAAATTTTTGCATTTCATTTGCATGGAAAATTGGAAATAGACACATAAAAAGCGCAGAGGTGACAGGGCCTTCTCTGTAGGACCAAGACTTTGGAACGAGTTACCTCTGCTTGTCAGACAGACCCCCTCCCTCTCGGTTTTCAAGTCCCGTTTAAAAACCCACTACTATTCAGTAGCTTTCAACACCAGAGGATCTGTGTTTTGATCCTGTATGCTCTACACTGGTTTGTCGTCATTTTTATTATCTGCATCATTTTTATGTTTATATTCTGATTTACCTCATTTTGTGTATTGCTTTGTGTGTTGCCTGTTTTTATGTCTGTACAGCACTTTGGTTGGCCTTTTTGCTGTTTTAAGTGCTCTATAAATAAAATGGTATGGTATGGTATAAAAAGTCAAAAGCAATGTACAGCAAAAACACTCAGAAACAACAAAACAAACAAGAAATTACAAAAAAAAAAAAAAATTTAAATAGAAAAATTAGAGAATTAAAATGATTGGGGTGGCCCTTGGGGTGTCTAAAGATTAATTTATATTGGTCAAGGCCACCTCTGGTCACCCCTTGTCTCCATCTCTGCATCTGGTGGTGGTTAAAATTGCTCCCTGTATTCACCAGGATCCATCACTCTGCACCGCCTCAGACAAGCAAAAAAAAACAAACAAGAATAAATCTACCTTTGTTCTTCTACACAGTATAACTCATACCCACTTTATCTTTCAACAAAAACATTAAGGTTTACTCTCATTCCCTGTTCTAGTCCAGTCCAGAAAAACACTCATCTCCAAAACCACATTCAAATCCCTCAGTGATGGGGAACATCAGCATACCCTTTGTTTCTTAAAGAAATTCTACCCACTCTGATCATCCATCCATCCATTATCTTTATCTGCTTCCTCCTTTTCGGGTCGCAGGGGTTACTGGTGCTCATTTCCAGCAGTCACTGTGCGAGAGGCGGAGGACGCCCTGGTCTCCAGTCCATCACAGGAACACAGAGACAAACAAGACAAACAACCATTCACTCTCTCTCTCTCACCTAGGGAAAATGTAGAGTTATCAGTCAGCTTAACATGCATGCTGTTGGTCTGTGGGAGGAAACCGGAATACCTGGAGAAAATCCGCGCATGCACGGAGAGAACATGCAAATTCCACACAGAAAGGCCCTCGGATGAGATTTGATCAAGCAAACTTCTTACTGAGAGGCAGCAGCTCTACCAACTAAGCCACCATGCTCTGATCAATAAACAATAATTATATTGTATTTATGGAACTCAGTTTTCTGTGCTATCATGCCATGTA